CAAAGGAATCTGAAAATTTAACATTGAATTTGCATGGTATTTAAATAACATTTTTGATCTACCTGTACTTTACTCTTTATCAGTTTATCTTCTTGTTATACCTTTTCTGTAGAGCACCTTATAAACTCTGATTCTGAAGTGGGCTATTAGGTATGCATCGATATTTGGCGTGAAACTCTGGCTCTGTCTTGAATTGGATTTGATGTATTTCCATTCAGATCACTGTGTAATGGTGACTGAAATAACAGCAATCATACATGTACACAGGGCCACAAATTGTCTAAAAGCAACACCATCATGTCTGTGAAGTTAGCATCAGAAGGAAATGTCTGTATCAGATAATCCTGAAATTGGAACAATGGGGTTGTAGTGTATACCTAAGTTCTGTAAGAAAATAAAATAGAAAATATCCCTGGTTCATTCCTGATTCTGTGTGGAGTTTCTGTGCATGTTCTCTGTGTGGGTTTCCTCCAGGTTCCCCAGTTTTCTTCACTTCCTGAAAGCATGCCAGTAGGTGGATTAGCCACTATAAATTGCCCTTAGGTGTGAATGAGTGTGTGTATGGTGCCCCGCAATGGACTGGCATCTCATTCAGGTTGTGTTCCAGTGTTCCTGGAATATGCTCCAGATCCGCTGCCAGGATAAAAGCAATTACTGAAGATCCATCCATTCTCTGTACCGCTTAACCTACACAAGGTCACAGGGAGCCTATCCCAGGGAACTCAGGGCACATCCTGGACAGGGTGCCAACCCATCACAGGGCACAATCACACACACACACTACAGACAATTTAGACATGCCAATCAGCCTACAACACATGCCTTTGGACAGGAAACTCCCGAAGGGCAAGGAGAACATGCAAACTCCACACATACAGGGCGGAGGCAGGAATCGAACCCCCAACCCTGGAGGTGCGAGGCAAACGTGCTAACCATGTGCCTCCGATTACTGAAGATGAATGAATGAATTATTAATGCATGCACATTTGCCTAATAGACTCAATGGAAGTTAAAAAGAACCTCGATCATTATAAGATAATATGATGGTATATATAATATAAGATATAAGATGATATTATAAGATAATCAATTACAGAACACTTTCGGTCAAACACACATATAGAGAGGCACATGTTCTTATGGTGAGGTACTTGTATCTGTAGTGGTTGGTGATCCAGTGCAGTAAATACACAATGTTAGCACTGAATATGCAGGAAAAGGCTGATTATATCTTTTCATATATTTTAAGTGCCGTTTTATATTAAAATGGAGCCCAAGTAAAAAGGGGAAAATGTAATCAGTAAATATAAAGCAAAATCTATTTCCTTTCTTGCTTGTATTGTGAGTAGTTATTATCTAATTACCTGGCACCAGTACTGAGAATGTTGAAAAACCAATAAGCTTAATTATGACTGAAGCCAAAAATAACCGGTGACAGTGTCTGGCTCCTGAGCAGCCAATCAGGTCTATGGAACAGTCTGTATATTACAGTTTCACTTGGCTCTGTGCTCATGTTTTAGATAAAAACACAGTAGCAGCTTGTATTACGTACTGATAGTGATACCAGTCTGAAAGTAATAACATAATATCTTTATTGATCTACAATATTAAATTTATTTGATAGAGCAGTTTGTTCACTACTACCTATTGTCCTCATATATATAACTTACAAACTTACTATAATCCATCATATAGTTATTCACAGATAGAAGTCATATAGCTGCTACCTATCTCTATTCACAGCCTATGAAGAGCTCTAATAAGAGAGTCACAGGACTTGGTTTTAGTACCTACTGTATTTTATTCATATGTTATATTAATGCCTCAATTTGAGATTGCTGAAACAACACCACAGCTGTCTCTGAACCAGATAACTAATGTTAGCACACCACCTAAAGACCCAGATCAGGTGAACAGAGGGCTCAAATCACACACTCTTGCTCATTATAACCAAAAATAAGAAGAAACTCAGCAGCAACTGGGTAACAATACAAACTCCTCAACAAGGGTAAATCATTCGATGACAATCTATAATTCACTAGATTTTTACCTAATAAATGCCGTATCCATTTAGCTAGAAAAATGCTAAAAACCCCAACTCATGAATATTAAAGTATAATATTAGACTGTCTCACTTTCAGTTGGTTTGTTTACTCTCCCATAGATTCTCACTATCTCTCTCCTGATTGGCTGCAAGCTCCTGCCATTCACCATGTAGTCTGACATCTTTTGTGTTCTGAGCTGGCGTATGATGTTTGCTTACAGATTTGCCACCAATTCTGACCCAACACCCCTGACAGACTGCTGACTGTGAATTATTGTTAAACGACGGTCAGGGTGACTCAAAGCAGCTCAGGAACATATGCTTATAAGCTATTTTAACCTTGACGCAATAATCATGGTTTTTCTTTTTTAACAACAAAAAACCTTAATCACTTGTAGCTATAATTTAATCAGGTTAAAAGCTCATACTTAAGGCCCAGTATACATGACATCTCCTAGCTTTTAGCATAATAGAAAAATTGTCTTCTCAAAGGAAAAGCAATATATCATCCATCAATCTTCCATACCACTTATCCTACGCCGAGTCACAGGGAGCCTGGAGCCTATCCCAGGGGACTCAGGGCACAAGGTGGGGGAAACCCTGAATGGGGTGCCAACATATAATGGCACACAACTGCACGCAAACACACTCACACACTATACACACACTTTGGAAGTGCCTACAACGCATATCACTGGGGGAGGAAACTGGAGTACCTGGAGGAAACCCCCAAAGCACAGGGAGAACATGCAAACTCCGCAAACACAGGATGGAGGCAGGATTTGAACCCCCAACCCAGGAGGTGCGAGGCAATATATAATTTCTGATCTATCAATTTTCTTAACTACATTAATATACTGAGTCAGAGGTCTAGCATCGAATGTACACCAATCAGCCATAACACTTAAACCACTGACAGGTGAAGTAAATAACATTGATCATCTCATTACAATGGCACTTGTCAAGGGGTGATATTAGGCAGTCAGTGGTTTTAATGTTATGGCTGGTGTACATAAATGGATGCATGATTTTCAATACCAAAGTCATGACCATAAACAGTAAGCTGAAAGAACTGGAACCCAGCCAAAGACTACTGCAAATAGTCATTTACAGCATTATGCTAAAACACAGGATCTCTATACCATGAAGATGTATGTATAACCATACTGCACATACAGTGGCAAAAAATCGAGAAAATTTGCAAGGGAGAAGGCCTTCATACAAGTGAGATTATAGCTCTTCTGCTTTAATCATTCATTCATCTGCAGTAACCACTTTATCTTGGTCAGGGTTGTGGTGAATCTGGAGCCTATCCCAGGAACACTAGACATACTGTAAGGTGGAAATACACCTTCAGTCCACTGCAGGACATGCACACACACTTTCACATCTAGGGGCAAATTAACTTAGCCTGTCCACCTTCCAGCATATTTTTGCTAAGTGGGAGGAAACCGGAGAGTCCAGAGGAATCCCATACTGAGACACTGAGAGAACATGTTAAACTCCACATAGACAGCAACCCGAGCCCAGGATCAAACTAGATCTTTTTCATTACACTTTAATTCATTCATTTTGAATGCTACATTTATTCATTCAACATTTAACCAAAGTTACTCACAAGTGAAACAGAATCCAATCAAAGCATAAAGCCGAGCATTTGAGGGTCAACTGCTAGATCGGAAGCCAAAAGTGGTCCTCTGGGAGTCTCACAATCTTTTGGTTTCTAGCACAGAACCATAACAGCAGAGCTATCATTCCTAAATAAGATGTTGCAGTGCACTAAAAGTGAGAGACTTAATTATTTATGCAATAACAGAAGACTATCAAGATGTCAGATACTGCGCCATTTAATTAATGGCGCAATAAAAAAATGGAACAAGCCTTTAATGACTGGCTCTGGTTTACGAGAACATTGTAGCTTGTTCAGTGCATTAGTATAATTATGCATGACCACAGATCCATTTATTATTTAGTCTTTTGCATTGTGTTTAATGCACATGAAATGAAGATATTGATTGTAGGCTGATTCCATATTTAAAGCTCAGATAGTATCCCACACACACCCAAAACTTTGCTGTGTGACGGTCAGAGAAATAAGACAGAGAAATAAGAGGGAACATCTGCAGCATGTTTACACACGACACCATGTCCACGGACAGCTGCCGAGCGTGTGTCTGCCAACTTGTTTCATGTTTTATGTGAGCTGACTCTCAAAAGCACAGAACAAGCCGATCCTTCCTACTATACAAAACAGCTGTCTAGGGATTAGGGACAGATTAAGACCACTTCTGTTTCTGGTTTTTGGGGCGCTGAAGTCAACATGCTGCACCAATGGAACAATGAAGTTAGGCAGAACATAGAACTGGAAAACACGGGTAAAAAATGGATCCTCAAGAACAGGAAACCCTTTACTGTAGGGCCTACATAAAAAAATTATGGTTTCCTAAACTGAGGAACCTTTTGGTGGTAGATGAAACATTGACAACTTGTATTTTATACCAATTTGAACATGTGTGGTATGTGAATAGAGTCATAAACATGAAATTAGCATATACTAGTGTTATGACCACTACTGCTCCTAGTGGTCATATTTGTGTTTTTTTTGTCTCTTTCTTTTTTCTGCAACAAAAGATAAAGCATTGTCATTGAATGCATGGGGGTGCTGTGCCATTAAACTGAGAGAGAGAGAGAGAGAGAGAGAGAGAGAGAGACATAGCTGTCCCTCACCTTCTGATGTCACCAGAAGAGCCATTTCCCAAGACCAAACCAACTCTCTTGACTTTGAGTTCTACCTATTGCTGTAGCTTTATTTTCTCACAGTATTGTTGAAGTGTTAGCTATTTTGTTGATAATAATAAACTGTTGTACTGTGAGTACATACTAAATTGTTTGGAAGATGTAATGGATGGGTATCATTTATTTTGATTACTTGTTTTTCTTGTTTTCCTGTTTCTGGTCTCTGGAGGACTAGTGGTTTGGCCTCAGAACTCTCACCACTGTGGTCCGGGTTCGATTCCCGGGCCAGGGAACCAACCCTAGCCACTGGGGTTGTACATGACGGTGTACACCCAGTGCTGGTCCTAAGCCTGGATACATGTGGGGGCAGTCGTGGCCTAATGGTTAGCGAGTTGGACTTGCAACCCGAAGGTGAACCTGAAGGTCGCAAGTTTGAGTCTCGGGCCGGCAGGGATTGTAGGTGGGGGGAGTGAATGACCAGCGCTCTCTTCCACCCTCAATACCACGACTGAGGTGAGTCCCTTGAGCAAGGCACCGATCCCCCAACTGCTCCCCGAACGCTGCAGCAAAAAAGGCTGCCCACTGCTCCGGGTGTGTGTTCACTACTGTGTGTGTGCGCACTTGGATGGGTTAAATGCAGAGCACAAATTCCGAGTAGGGGTCACCATACTTGGCCACACTTCACTTCACTTTCACTACAACTGGGGAGGGCTGTGTCAGGAAGAACCTGTGCCAAATCAAACATGTGGACCAATGATCCCCTAAAGGGAGCAGCCGAGAGAAAAACTACTACAACTTTTCCTGTTTTGTGGCGGGGGAGGTAAGGAATAGAATAGTATATGGTATTTTCTGTTTCTTTTATTTTAGGTTCATTAGCTGCCCAAAACACGTTTTGGTTGTTAATTTGGCATATGTTCTTTGTGATGTACAAATTTTAATTTTAATATTGAGAATACAAGTGTCAATAAAACCTCACTGATATTTTTATGAGTGTTTTGTGTTTTGGTCTGGCAGTGTGCTTTGGGCAGGAAGGGGAATCCATTCTGTCATTCATGTTGTAGTCCACCCTAGATGGGCCATAACACTAGTAAATATGTCCTTCTGTCAGTCTGTCAATGGTGATGTGCAGTACATATAAAGGAAGATCTTTATACTGTAAGACATGAACCTCTTAAACACCATCAAACTGCATGATAAACCATATAGCTTGAGAACCAGCAAATTATACTACTCAACATTTTCCTTTTCTAGCTGTGTTCGTGTCAAACCCTAAGCATGGCTGCATCCATGAAGCATGGTTGTATTTCACTGCCATCGGTACCATTCCATATGGGTCTCTCTATGGGTAAGTTAACAGTTATGTGAATTTCCTCAGCCATTTACAGCAGGAAATATCATGAACATCCAATTCCTGAAATATGAACGTAGCACAACAATGGAGTTTTTATAGTGGAGCACAGTGGCCATTGAGAAGGGAAGCATGATCCTTAACTCCAGCAGTTGTCTTGAGCAGCTGAGGAAGTGGACACAAGAGGAATTTGGGGCTGGGGGGGTGTTGGGGTTGGAGGTGGGCACGTGCCAGACGTAGACAGGTGGGTCTACTGTACATGTTACCAAGCCACTCATCTACACTTTGAACCAGTGTTCTGTATAGTCAGTAATAATTTAAAAGTGGATTTGAGGCTTAGGGTTTTAAGAATGTTCTGGGTCAACAATGTTAACAATAATGTGATATTATAAGAATGATGAAATATTATTATTATTATTATTATTATTATTATTATTATTATTATTTACTTTTTACTATTATTATTACTATTACTATTATTTCACTTTATTTACTAAAGTGCTTTTTCGGTATTTTGATTGTGATTGGTCAGAAGGTGTTGATTGATTTTTTTACAACAGCAACTTGGAATGTAGTTCAGGATGTACGGCAAATTACAGATATATATTAATTTACTCACTTTAATACACGTAGACACTCCACATACACAGATTACAAAACATGTAATTGTTGATATGGTGAAGTTTTCTGTGAATAGACGTTTATTTAACATTTTTGGAAAGAGTCTCCAGTGTCAGTCCTGCTCCTTTACGTTTTCTGACAAAAGAAATCCTTCTAGATAGAGAGTTTTCCAGCTTCTCAGTAACAGTAGAAGCATTTCTTCTAACTTCAATTTAAGGATTTATTAACTTCAAGAGAAATAAATAAGAGAGGCTGGTGAGGGACTGACTTTGTATAGCTGCTGTGATATTGCTGTTGTATAAGAGGAATGAAACACTTCTGGAATGTGCTGTTATTGGAAAATAAAATCACACTCATATTTTCCCTATTTTACTATAACAGCACTCTCCATCATGTTTTTTTCCTTACATAACGTACTCTCCATCAGACTTCACATGAGCTATGAGATGATCATAAAAACAGCTTATGTACCATACTGTATATAGCTGCTGCTGCACTTTTATAATGCCCAATATGTACAGTAATACAAATCAGTGTAATGATGGCAGAACAAAAAAACACAATGTTTTATTAATGTAGTTATAATTGAATAAGAAATAACAAAGTTCCTCAATATGACAAAGTCATGAAATGCTTCTTGGTTGAAAACAACTTTTGTACCCCAATTTAACCACCTAACAGGTTTTCTCAGGAGCAGGACTGAGACTCAAAGCATACAAAAACACAACAAGAGCTTGTGTCTGGAGCACAAGCTGTGATCCTGGTGGTATTTTAATCTCTCATTCTTCACCTATGTGCCTTTCTCCAGTCTCCTTCGCCATACAACATATTCCCTCTTTGCATCTGCTCATTCCATCAAATAAGCCTCATCTTCTTACCTCCAAAACATCCAAAGCATTCCCCAGAGCAGCTCATCACATTTTCCACACTGTCTCAAAGACCTGTGATGTATAGGAGGATGTTAAGGAGGGGATAAGAAGAGCCAAAAAGACAGATGAGGAATTTCCTTTTGGAATTTTACAGACTGTGTATAACAAACATATTATCCTCTAATGACACTGATACCCAGATCACAGGTCCTGCCCTTTGAATCTTGAACTTGTAGGAGACTCACGAAAGCAAAATGATACAAGATTAAAGGACTCAAACCACCAGATTGAGCAATAATAGAGCATCAAAAGGCCAAGGCTACAATAGACGCTCCCCAATGCTAAAATATTAACAGAGTTGAAATATACTTATTTAGTGAGGTAGATCAGATGCCTCTGCATCTATATCTACCTCACCTACCTTCTGCCTTCTACCTTCTGCCTTAAAAAAAAGAAAAAGAAAAAAAAGAAGAATACATTTGGTGCGTGTACTGTTTCACTACTAATTTGATTACTCTTGTGATTATGTATACTTCCATGATGTACATTTATAGTTTTCATAATTAACAAATGATTATAAACGCTACCTTCAGATCAGTGTCCTTATTACTCCAAAATGATGGACGCTAAATACCAAAGCAAATGAAAGCAAAGTTTGTGCCTTCCAAACACAATGCCTCAGTAATATTAAATTTGCTACAGTCATACATCATTTACTTCATAATCATAATAACTGTGATGGAACTGCAAGGGCTTCCCTGTTTAAAGCACAGCATTAAGGAAAAGAGGGCTTTTAAGGAGCTTCTGCTGAATTACATCAAGCATTATAAGGGAAGCATGCCATCCAAAAATGGGGCTGTCCAATAACAGATCAACTAGAAAATAATTTATTACCACATTTACATTACATTCATGTGTCTCCATTTGGCAGAAGCTTTTATCCCAAGTGACTTGTGACCAGAAAGAGACCAGCAGTGTTACAAGACAGTTGTAGGAAGAACCATAGATAGTAGGGATAACAAATGCAAATACATTATTCAGAATGAAATAATAAACAAATAATTAAACAAAAAACAAAAAAATCACTAAACAAATAATTTAGTGATCTAAACAGATACAAATACTTTAGTGCACTACTGTTTTATTTTTAAGAAAGCTTCTGGTTGAAACTAGAGGGATGTATCAGGACTAGGATCCCATAGGATGCAACAAAAAAGTCACGTGAGTGGGTGGTTTTTAACTTTCTTGACTTGCATGACTTGTAGATATGAAGATCGCAGAACAAAAAAAAAAAGACCAGATGATCAATATCGTCTTCAGTGCAAGCTGGGCTGGACTATTCGTTCCACAGTTATAGAATGTCACGTGAAAAGAGTGGTTTTATCACCATGTGCCATTCACCAGACCAGTGACTGTCCCTGATGAGTGATTACATTGATGTTCTATTGATTATTATGAAGAGAAAAGAACTCCATAACAAAGCTATGTCTGACTTGATTGATTTGGTTGATAGCTAGTCTTTGACTGTTACCCCAAGTTTCTTGGAGGGGATTGATGGAAATAGTGACAATAAGGCAAGCTTGCCAGTGATATTATGTTAAATCAAATGAATAAGTTGGAGGTGGCCAAGGCTATTGGCAGTTACGAAATGGTTGAATCTAAAAGGGTTCTTTGGCTTGTGCATCTGGAGGAACCCATAAATATTGGGCACAATATTTGCTCTAGCTAGCTGATATCATTTTCAGGTTCTTTCTTGTCCAGAACTACATAAATACAGAAATAATTCATATTACATAAGGTTGGGTTTATGTAAATACAATGTCAAGACAATGTCTGAGTTACGATATCAATAATATCAATCAATAACTTTGGTCATTTTCTAAGAGTATTGGGAGTATCATCAGTAATTTTCCAAAACACCACTACACACAGCTAACTAGACGTTTTCATTTTCACAGCTGATTTATTTTTCCTTCTGCTTCTATCAAAATGGTTTATATTAATTAAAAAATAGGGATTTATAGATCTTGCAATCTATTTATAAAATATTACAGTGCTGTTCTGTTGACTTTATTCACAAACTTTTAGAACTAAATAGTGCAATGCATATTGCATGCAAATGTTATCATTTTGCAATATATTCCATTTTCAGTACAACACCGTGTTAATATATAGAGTGCAAATATATGTAACATTCAAGTAACATTTGCAAGTAAAAACTTTACTAGTGACTAGTGATCTTTAATTATTTCACAGAAAGAACTGGTTTGGCCAAAGCACACAATTCACATGTCCAAAATCTAATGGCTATACTGCAATTCCACATGAGTAGCTCTTCTATCAGTGACCTTACAAACAGTTTACACCCAATATTCAACAAAAATCTCCCCTGGAAATTATAGACTTCTACTTAAGAACTGCTGCTGTAATCATAAAGACTGTCTTGTGTTCCTCC